AATGGTTACTTAATGGGAGAGCTTTGGTGAAGAGATCAGCAAGTTTTTTTGTAGATTCAATTTTTTTAATTATAAGTGCTTGATCAGTAATCAAGTCATGGGTATAACTAAAATACTTTGGATCAATATGCTTTGTCTTGTCCCCTTTAATAAAACCAACTTGCATCTGTACAATACAAGCACTATTAACTTCATGCAAGATAGTTGGAGAATCATCATATGAAAATCCACAGGTTGTTTGAATGAATTTATCAATTGATCGCAACTAAATATATTCTCGAGATGCTTCATGTAAGGCAATAATTTTTGCATGGTTGGATGAAGTTGAAGTTATTGTTTGTTTCACTGATTTCCATGATATTGTAGCTCTATGTCTTAAGAATACATATCTTGTTTGAGATTTAGCTGTTGCAGTATCAGATTTATATCCTACATCACAATATCCAACCAATTTTGGATCTGTGGATTGTGTGTAGTATAATTCCAAGTCTTCAGTACCTTTTAAATAACGTAATAAATATTTGATGACATTCCAATGTTATAGTCTTGGACGTGCACTATGTCTTGCAAGAACACTAACTGCGAATGCAATATCTGGTCTTGTAAATGTAGCTAAATACAAAAGTGCTCCAACCACTGCGAGGTATGGATATTGATCTCCCAATATTTCTTCCTCCTCGCATGGACGGTATGGATCATGACCATCATAACCACGTCCAACCATTGGTGTGGACAATGGATAAGCATCAATCATATTAAATCTTTGCAAGTTTCGTCTAATATACGTTAGTTGGTAGAGAAAAATGCTACCATCTATTAGATGCATAATGTGAAGATCAATACAGAAAGTTATTTTTCCTAGCATTTTCATCTCAAATTCACATATAAGTAGGTTAATAGTTGTAACACATGCAGATGTAGTGCCCACTAGATTAAGATCATTAACATATATAGCGATGATCACAAAACCAATTTTATCTCATTTGATAAATTCATAATCAATGCCAAATCGTTGATTAAATCCTTGAGCAACAAGATGAGCTTTATAGCGGGTTATTTGGCCTTGAACATCTCGCTTGCATATTAATACCATTTTATATCCCATAGGATGAGATGTAAGAGTGTCTACAATTAGACCAAAGACTTTCCTCTTATGCAAAGAGGCATATTCCTCCTCAAAAGCAGTTTTCTATTTTGACCAATCTGAGCGACGCATCGCCTCCTCGATGGTTTGAGATTCAGAATCGTCTTCCTCATAAGAAATGGCTTCTATAATCATATATGCAAATGATTCATCTACTGTAATAGATGGTCTGTTCCAAATATCATTTGTAGCACAATACAGAATAGATAATTCTTTACTCAACTTGTTCTTATTCTTTCCAATTCCAAGATTGTTTTTCATAGGAATTGAAGGTACATTATGCATGGATATATCATCATAAATTGGTAGTCGTGTGAGATGAGTGGCAATTTCTTGAGAAATAATACCAAGATTAATCAATTTTATAGCTTTCTTCTTAAATGGTTGTTTATCTGGTCCACGAGTTCTTTTAATTGTTGTTGTTATAATTTGAGGTATTGTTGTCAATGGCACTGCAATCTAAGCAAGTGCATTCTGAGCCTCATTAATAAGAACTCTTGTAAGTCTAGGTGCATCATTGAAGCCATCAGGTGTTTTATCCGCGATCCATTTTAGATGCAAAATCTTAGCAACTTCAATTTCTACCAAAGATGTCCTAGAATCGGGATTCATTGTAAACGTTTCTGGTGCTTCAAATATGAGTACTTTATTTCTTTGTTGATTGGATACTCTTCCTTGAAGAGATGGAAATACATTTTCTTCAAAATGGCAATTTTGCAAATATGCACATAATAATAAGCTAGTTGATGGATCAACAATACGAATAATGTTTGGTGAATCAAAACCAACATATATGCTTTCATGAGCTCCAATGGTATGCCGTTGAGGTTTTGGTACTAGAATCCAAGCACAGCAATCAAATACTCGTAAGTGAGATACATTTAGAACACAATCCAAAATGAGCTCATGTCGTGAAACAATTTCAAAAGAAGAAGGAGGGAGGCATATTAATGCTACAGCATGTAAAACTGCATGACTCCACATAGATGCAGGTAAATTTGCGTGAAGAAGGAGTGGTTGGATAATGAGTTGTATACGCTTTATAAATGACTCTGCAAGTCCATTTTGACCATGTTCATATGGAACACAATATGTCAACTCGATTCCTGTTGCAGTACAATAGTCTTCAAAAGACTTTGATGCGAATTCTTTTGCATTATCCATACACAATGTTTTTACAAGATAATCAAGAAAATGTGCCCAAAAATGAATAAGCATAGATATAAGATTGGCAAACACCATGTTTTGAGTTGGTAATAATGAAACATGTGATTGTTTACCTGATGCATCAACAAGTACCAAAAAATAACAAAATAGTCCTGATATTGGATTAATAGGACCACAAATATCACCATGCAATCTTTCAAGCATTGGTGGTAATTCTTGTGGAAGTTTCCAAATTGAAGGCCGAGTAATCATTTTACCTTGCACACATGCATCATTTGATTTATCATTAGAGGTTCTATCATTCATATAAGCCTCTAAGTCATCAACACCAATTGAATCCATGGACGCATCCATGGTATGAACTTCACAAGCCTCAACTCGTAATTTCTTATTTTCTTGGAACATTTTAATAAAATATTCTGAAGTACGACACACATGTGCTAAATGTCCAATCATTCCACACTTATGGTAAGAACGCATCTCTGATTTTTGTTTTCTACTATAATTAATAGTAGAACGTTTATTCTTTCCATATACGTAGAAATGGTCATGATTATGACTACCTTGATACTTATGAACACGTTTTCCAAGTTTATATAATTTCTTCTTAGACTTTGAAATATTAAGTACATGAGATTCTGAAATTATAGTTCCAATAGGACAAGCTTCTACATTGCACAAGAGTAGCTCATTTTGCTTCTCCGCAAGAAGTAGATAGGACATGAGATGAAAATGACTCTGAAATTTCATGTTCTTGTATTATTGTGCAAGTATAGCAGATATAGGAGGAAATGTAGAGAGAGTTATCTCAATCATTTCTTCTTCAGAAATGCTTTGTCCACATAATCATAATTGTGAGACAATACTATACATTTCACTATTGAAAGCATTTAAATTTGAAAAATCTAAGACACGTAAATGTGTCCAATTATGACCTGCACGTGGAAGAAAAATGATCTTTTGATGATCAAACTTAGATTTAAGATTCTTACAAAGTTCTGCAAGATCTTCCATTTCCAAATATTGATGTTGTAATGTAAGTACAAGATGACGACGAAGGAGAAGAAGTGCTTTCCAACAAATAGCAGGAGGTATAGAAATACTCATTGTAGGAGATTCTTCAAACATAATGGCATCCTAGAATTGTTCTGTAAATAAATTTGTTTTTGCCATTTTTTCCCATAATAGATAATTGTTTCTATCCACAATCAATGGTGGAAATAAAAGAGCTTGAAAATGTTGGGATGCACTAGTAATAGTTGGAACCATAGTAGAAGCAGTTGAAGATGTTGAAGCACTCATTATAAATAAATCTGTAAAGAAAATATAAGATCAAGTAGAAAATTTGAATAAAACGTACCTTAAAATATAAAGTCAAATAAAATGACAAACTTGAACTTGAAAAAAATAAAAATATATATATATATATATATATATATATATATATTTTTTTTTTTTTTTTTTTTTTTTTTTTGTTAAAGGATGTTGTAGATTAAGGCAAAAGAACAGCAATAAGATGGTGGCAACAGTCAGCGGCAGGGTGGCAGTGGCGGGCAGCGGCGGACAGCAATAGGTAGGCAAGGGCAGCAACAGGGTAGCAGCGGCGATAGCCACAAGTTTGGCGGCAGCTCGGCGGCTATTCGATGGTAGGCGCAGGGCGCAACAAGGAGCAGGGAACAAGCTAGGGTGGAATTGGGTTGGATCAAGTATTCTAAGCAAGTATTCTAAGCAAGCAAGGGAGAGAGTGGAACAAGTGCTCAAAGCAAGTAGCTAATGTGTGAAGGGCCAGCAAGAAGAGCAATAAGATCATGAGGCAGATACTGAGCAAGAGTAGCAACAAGTTTGAAGAGTCAAGACTAGAGCAAAAAAAATTGTGATAGTGTATAGAAGAGAGTTGTATTGATAACATGTTGAGAATGTTTAGAAAGACACAAGAGTAATAGTAAGTCATACACACACAAGAGTAGTGGTAAGTCATACACACAAGAGGGTTTTTAAGGAGAAAGAGCTTCACACATAAAAATCTATTGATATGATTGTGTCTCATATACAAGAAGAGAAAAGAGGAGACGATAAACAATACTTCTCCACTAGACTCTAAATACTATAGCTATGGTATTTACTATAGTCTACAATAAATATTATGGAGAGTGTCAGCTACATTTAATGATATCAACAACAACAAAACTTTTGACCTATAGTGACGTCAAAACTTTTGACCTATCGTGAAACTTTTGACCTATAGTGACGTCAAGGTGAAGAATAGACATACGGACATGAACGGGAATGGACCTACACAATGTATAAAGATAGCATTCACTGCTGTTTCACACTGGATCATTCCAATCTTATCAGGGTTATACTATTGCGAAAATGTTCTGTACAATAGACATATGTTAGAACTTTGCTGTAAATTGAACCTACTATTCCAAAATCTTGAATGATTCTAGATTTCATAAGTTAGTGCAAAGTTGACTTCTGAAAAGCGATTTCAAAACTGGTTACATCCAGGCTATTGACGGTGTTCTCTCAAATTATCTTCATTATATAGTCCGTGAATAGAAAACTTAAATAATTTTGGGTATGATGCCGCAGAGCACAATAAGAAGCCACAAAGTCAGCAGATTGATCGCAGAAAACCTCCAGAAAGAAACATGCAAGACTATCAACAAATACAATTGGTCGCAAGTCCTCAAGAACACGCAAGATGTAGCAAAAACTTTCTTAGTTACTGCCTAAGAACTTCCAGTCCTCCCGATATGATCAATACACTTCCAACCAGTGCTGGCTCGTGCAGAGACCTGACCCTTCTAAAATACCTGCCCTCAAATAATCATTTAAACCGGCAAGCTAGCCTTCCATTCCACCCCGCACTGATACTTCCCCGACCAGCACTTAGAAGGGCACCGAAACATCTATAAAACACTCCCTCTTCCTGGTGCTAAAGGAGACACTATCCACAACTCATAAAAGATCTGCAACATTGGAAGGCAACTCCTCGATCACGGTGTTGTAGAACTTTTGAATATCCTGAAGCATGCGATCGTCATCCCTTGTGACGAAGTTGATAGCTACACCCTTACGTCCAAAACGCCCACTTCGTCCAATACGGTGGAGATAGTTCTCAGGCTGGGTAGGCAGATCGTAATTGATGACCAGAGAAACCTGTTGAACGTCGATACCACGAGCCAGGAGATCGGTGGTAATGAGCACTCGGGATGACCCTGAACGGAACTCACGCATGATGATGTCACGGGTGTTTTGGTCCATATCTCCGTGTGTTGCAGAGACGGTGTGGTCGCGAGCTGGTCACAGAACATTGAGAACATCAAATTCAGTTATCTGCTAAACTTAAATAAACAACCAAGCTTCGTGGTAACTCGCCAAAGATTGTATGAGTCAAAACGTAAAGAAGTACCTCGCATCTTATCGGTAAGCCAGTCGACCTTTCGGCGGGTGTTAATGAAAATAACACTCTGCGTAATGGCCAGGGTTTCATAAAGATCACATAGTGTGTCTAATTTCCACTCCTCCCTGTCTACATTCACGTAAAACTGCTTGATACCCTCCAGAGTCAGTTCGTCTCTCTTGACCAAGATCTTCACTGGCTTGTTCATGAACTTCCTGGTGATCTCAAGCGCTTCGGGTGGCATTGTGGCAGAAAACACACCCACTTGAAGCTTCTGTGGAAGAAGCTGGAAGATGTCATAAATCTGCAGAAGATGCCCGAATCAATTTCGTTAGCGTTGAGCAATATCTCTCATAGCTTATAAGGAGGATAATTAGAGAACTGAAATAGTCACACAAACAATTAGTTTTCTTGGGAGTAAAAACAAATTTCTTCTACCATTCCAGGACTCTCCGAACAAACCTGATCCTTGAATCCCCTCGAAAGCATCTCATCGGCCTCGTCCAGCACGAAGCACTTGATTGAATCAGCACGGAGTGCGTTTCTTCGCAACATGTCGTACACACGGCCAGGAGTTCCAACAACAACGTGAACACCAGCTTGCAAAATTCGCTGATCCTCCCTGACACTGGTACCTCCGACACAGGCATGTACCTTAACCTGGAGATAGTCACCTAACGCGCGCATAACCTTCTCAATCTGCTGGGCAAGTTCCCGAGTGGGTGCCAAAACCAGAGCTTGGCACTCAAGAAGCTGATAATCCAATTGTTGGAGAATACCAGAGCAAAAAGTAGCTGTCTTGCCAGTTCCAGACTGGGCTTGTTGAATGACATCAAGACCCTTGGTGAAGGGAACGATTCCACGCTGTTGGATAGCAGATGGCTTCTCAAAACCTGTACAGGTCAACCAGAATGAGATTAGAGCAGCAGAGTGCGGTTCAATTGGTTCTCGGTAGGAAACTACGAACACCACAAGCACCCACAAAACATGCAAGCACAAGGGTTAGTGGCAATTATAGTAAATGAAGTATAAATAGAGAGTACGAGAGCACCGTTCTGAAGTACGACAAACACAAAAATGGAACGAATATACTACCATAGGCGTAAATTCCTCTCAGAAGGTTCTCATGTAGACCCATCACATCAAAAGTGTCGTGAACCTCCTCCCACGTCGAAATGAAGTCCTCGCCCTCGGCCGACAAGCTGAGAAGAAACAAGATAAATGTTGATGAGAGATCCCTTCATCACGAATCATTTCAAGTGGATTCACAGCAACTGAAGTGAAAACACATCACAAAATAATGAAAAGGCGAGGGTAATCAGTGCAGGCGGTTATCACTCTTTCTTACATGTTCTCCATCTTGGCGTCATATTGGCGTGCATCGAACTGGGAACCTTCGGGAGCAGAACCTGCCATACTACTGCACAGACCAGGTCAACTTAAAAGTGTGAGAAGAAGATCTCAAACTGAAATGTTAGCTACATGACGTTCTGAATCAGTAGCCATAAAGATCTCTGAGAAGGCGCGGAAAACGACTGTCTATGCGTAGAGAGAGATATGGCGCAGACGAACCATACTCACTTCAACGATTCTAATTGCCAGAAAATACAACACGCCCTTAGGAAAACAACAAAATAAGGGTAAAGATTCGACCCAAACAGGGCCGCATCCTGTGAAGGACGATTACTACATGCAAAACTCATTGTGTCACACTACAAAAACTGCGGTTTCGATAGACCTGGAAGAAAAACTCGGTGAATTGTGCCCAACAGCACGACTGCGTGTTTGAGCACGGACATGGTTTTCATGAGCGGAAGAATATAAACAATCAGCACTCTTCTTTACATTCGAAAAACCTGCGAATCTGATAGTGGAGGCAGACTCTACTCTCGCAAAAATCCGATCCTGTATCACTGACATCCTCAAATACCGAAATAGCCGTACAAGATCCTGCTTCAGCACTACTACTGCAGACAGAAGCCAACCCCGACAACTGTTTTAGGCAATCCAGAACAGAAATCCAACACTCTCCGCGATCAGCACAAACAGCAAACCTAACCGGACAAGGCAAGCGACAAATCCAGTAACCGCTACACCTCAAAGACAGCCACTGAGCTTCAGAATTTTTTTTTCCTCTGCAACCAAACCATAATCTCCAACGTCTAACGCAACCGCGACAGCTCTGACGCCCACAGTTGTAAAACACATACACGAAGCCTAAAGCAATGGGAAACCAAACCAGCTCACTGAGGACCAAGCCGAGCACAAGCCGTTCACACAAGTCCCGTAACCTAATCACCGCAATACAGGGCCGGAAACTCCACCGAAGAGCTCAAATCAACGACAAGAACAAGAGGAAGAGGTAAGGAAGCAATCCGGAGACAAAGAGCTTCACGGTGTGGGAAGGAACGCACTGATCAGTGCGTTAGAGGAGGCAGCAGAGGCGGTCGGGTGAGGACGACGGCGCAGCAGCAAGCACAAAAGGACTCAACACGTCTTCGGAATAGGGCTTTCAACCCCACCTCCCCACAGGACCAGTGCATCTATATACCGAGGCATTCTGGCCCTGTATATTCCTCAACGCTCAGTTCAGTTCTAAGGGGTTTCGCGCCACTTGGAACGAAAAAGGACGTCCTTTTTCGCTTCGTCCATATTTCGTTCAAGTTTCGACGACGGTTCCGGACGAATTTACGACGCTCACCGTCGTTCGTCGACGAAGTGGAACAGGGATGGCGAACGCTTGAGGAACTCACCAGGGCAGTGCACTTTGGTGAGTTGGGTGGCGGGTGACCCTGTGAAATGGCGGGTGACACTTGACTGAGTTGTGGACTCCTGGTTGAGGTTTTCTATTGATATTGCTTCATGAAATGTATAGATATGCAATTATGTATTGTTGGTTGAGGAATCAAAAAAAGTTGATGTTACAACAACAAAACCTTGTATTTGACAAGCTAGTTTTAATTTCTATGAATATTCACAACTAGATTATGGAAAATACACATAAATTAGAATAAAAAATATTGTTAATGACAATGTAATTTATTATAATATCTCGAATTATATTTATATATATATATATATGGCTGAAATTATTAAAATGTGAAAAAATCATAAATCATGTTATAAATATGCAGAAAAAAATGAAATACAAAGTTTACAAAATAATATATCACAAAATAATTGATTTGGGTACTAAATATAAATGGTACCTAATGTGTAATTGACTTAAGAAATAAAATTTGGAAATGCTAAAATAAGTGTAAATTTTCCATCTAAACTTTTACACAAGAATCTAATTTGTCCAAGGATAAGAAAATAAAATAAAATAAAATAAAAAATGAAAAAATATAATTTCTTCCTTGTTTTAATTTTTTATATATATATATATATTAAGAGTTGAGATGTCATTTCCTCATTTCTTTCAAAGTAGACTTGCATCTAATTTTAAAAAATTCAATGCTAATGGAATAGGAATTTAATACCTTCTTATTGTACCACATAGATCGTTTGTAAACATTTTTTTTTCCTAACTTTTTTTAGGCATTTATTTTAGCAACAAAGTAGAAAAATAACATAGAGAGAATGGTTTTTAAAGGTTTTAAACAATCAATCAAAAAATAACACATCTTTTTATTTATATTTTGATTAAGATGGAACAACACTAGATCAAGCCTTCCCCACAAGCGTGAAATATTTCTATAATTATTCCATTCTATTTGTGATTCTACATTTCTCTTAAAGGCATCAAGAAAGCCTAAATCTATTGTAATTGGTCTACATCAATCTTCCTAAACTCTTTTTTCGATTTGTTTTATTGCTTCGATTTTATTTATTTATTATTATATGTATATGTATACAGTGGAATTCCAAGGCACTCACCCCTAGGAACGAGGGAACGCGGGAACTCTATGGGGAACTTCCTGCATTCAAATGGTTTCCGGTCGTTTTTCCGGATTCGCGGTGCGGCTCAAGCTCTCGCTCTTCGTCGCAGCAGCAGCACCAGCGCAAGGCGATTGTCGTGTAAGCACAAATCTTTACGGTTTCGATCGCTTAAAATTGCGCACGTGACCGCTTGCGCAAATTAGTACGTGGGTTTTTCGGAGATTCTGACAACGAGGGATGGATGTTTGTGGGTTCATGTAATTGAAGCTGGTGGGTTGGAGTGTTCGGCGATTGATCGATCGAGTTGGAATGCGCATTCGCATGTTGATTTGAGATGAGCACGTTACGAGGATGAACTGGAGAAGGCACAAGAGTTATTGTTGTTGGCCCGGATCGCCGGGCGACCTTCCGTAAGTCTGCTTCGTGGTTTCGAATTATTTTGGGTGTCACCAGCTACGCGAACTGGAGCATGTGAAGGTGAGGGGGAGGCGTCGGAGCGGGGGTGACGCACGAAGGCCCGCCATGGATCGATCTTCGTCTGCAGCAGCTGGAGCGGGGGAATCGATGGCACAGTTAGGGTTGGAGGGTAGGGATTTGTGGGTTTAGAGTGCTAGAAGGATGGAGAATTATCTCTACGAGTGTGTTCAGGCATCTCTGCGCGCATTCTTGTACGCCAATGCCACATTTCTATGTGAGCGCTTAAATGCGGAGTTTCCTTCCGAAAGCAATGTACACTTGCTGGCGACGTGCTATTTCCGGAGCAATAAGGCTCACCTGGCTTACCATGTTCTGAAAGGCACAACGACACGGCAATGCCGATACCTGTTTGCACTGGTGTGCATGCAAATGCAGAGTCTAGAAGAGGCTGAAGCGACATTGTTGAATTCGCTGGAACCGGGTGCGGAATCGCTGCCCGGTTCAGCGACTAGCTATTATCTGCTATGCGTTATATGCAAGCAGTCAGGTCGGAGGCAGGCAGCAATTGGACATTATACCCAGGCATTGTCGCTGGATCCCTTTCTTTGGTCTGCGTATGAGGATTTATGCGGACTTGGGGCAGACGAGGAGTCTGTGCCTGTTTTCAGTGACACAGTTAAGTCTCAGCTGCAGAAAATTGAGTCTGTTCGACAGTCTAATGCGGTGAAACATGAGAGTTTTGAACACGATTTTTCGCTTCGTGCGCCTGCGTCCAGCAATGGCAGCCCAAAGCACAGGAAGCTGCATTCTGGCGGTGTTATCAGCGATGCAGGAAGTACAGTGATGATCTCAACGTCCGAGGGTGTGTCCACTTACGCATCCGTTCAGAACTTAGGATTAGGTCCTCCAGGACCTGGACGAAGTAACAACCCGGGTGCGAATGCTACGGGAGGGGGATCGGGTGATGGAATAGGAAGAGGAGGTGGTGGGACAGCCGGATATGCCCAGCAGCGTCGGAAATTTGTTGACCCTGATGTCAAATTTCGGAAGAGCTTGCGGTCGCTTTCTGTGCGTCCAGGGCAATCCCAAGCATCTCGGAGGGTAGTTGAGCAGGTGGGACCTAGAATGAGCACGAGACTGAACATGATCGGAGATTGTAACACTGCTCAGCTGCAGCAACCTTGCCCGACGAGTAGCGTAGGCGCCACCATGGTAGGGACAGTAGCCAGTGGTGCAGGAGCGGTTACATCTCTGAGGGGAGGAGTTGCTGGAGTCACGCCCTCGCGGATGACCACGTCCCGGAAGCAAGCTTTGGGCATTAGTGTGGACGATGGCAGAAAATTGTTTGACAGCTTTGAGATCTGTGGAGGCGGGGGCGATGGGTTGAGCAGGTCGAAATTAGAAGGGTCGGACGAGGAGAGATCACTGTCAGCTCGGTGTGCCTCGCGTGGGGCTTTGGAGCTATTTCAGTTGCTACGGATTTTGGGGGAAGGATACCGTCATCTGTGCATGCTTCGTTGTCAAGAAGCTGTTCAAAGCTTTTCGAAGCTTCCGCAACAACATTTTGCAACCGCTTGGGTGCTTTGTCAAGTTGGAAGAGCGTACGTGGAAATGGTGAATTATCCCGAGGCGGAGCGTGTTTACAGTTGGGCCCGGCGTGTCTCTCCGCACTGCCCAGTTGGAATGGACATGTATTCAACTGCGCTGTACCATATGAAGAAAGATGTGCAATTGAGTTACTTGGCACAAGATGCTGTTGCAATGGATCGGCTGTCGCCGCAGGCATGGTGTGTGATGGGCAATTGTTTTAGTTTGCAGAAGGACCATGAAACTGCACTAAAGTTTTTCCAACGAGCTCTTCAGTTAGATCCGAATTTCACCTACGCACACACTCTTTGTGGACACGAACTTGTAGCAATGGAAGATTTTGAGGAGGGCCTCATCTGCTACCGTGAAGCAATTCGGCTCGATTCCCGCCATTACAATGCATGGTACGGGCTGGGTACTATTTACCTTCGGCAAGAGAAGTACGAGCTAGCCGAGTACCACTTCCAAAAAGCCCTCCATGTGCATTCCCGATCTTCAGTGTTGCATTGCTATTTGGGTATGGCATTGCACGCACTGAAGAAGAATGACGAAGCTTTGGCTTTGCTGGAGCAAGCTATAGTTGCAGACCCGAAGAACCCTCTTCCCAAGTTCCAAAGAGCCAACGTGCTGATGAGCGAAGGGCGATACCGTGAGGCGCTGGCAGAGCTTGAGGAACTGAAGGAACTTGCCCCACGAGAAAGTAGCGTCTTCTTTTTGATGGGACGAATATACAAGCGGTTAGAGATGCTGGAACGCGCTGTTCATCATTTTCGCATTGCTCTAGATTTGAAGCCTTCAAGTACAGATGTGAATCTTATTAAGGCAGCTATCGAGAAGTTGCCAATTGCAGATGCACTTGAAGTTGAGAATTTGTGAACTTTCAGTCATTTCAGCTGGCTGTTTCGGATAACCTGTTGGTTTACGAATCGTTTTGAGCATTTGTACAGTGCGTCAATCTTTTATTCTTGCCTGGAGTTGTTTAGGAAGTGGTAGGTCAGCTTGATACATAGATCTGCGAACAATGGGTTCATTTGTAGGTCACCTTTGGTACTTTGGCTCGTCGTGTAATGCCTCCATTTCAGATAAATCCTCACTCAGGCAGTTTTGATAGCTAGCCCACTTTCTTTTCGTTTGCAATTTGGGTTGTCCAGATTTTAACTCCACTGGAGATCTGAATGCTTTAGGGAACGCTAGTTAGAAATATTGAACCGGAAGCTGCACTTCTGTATTTGAGGTCTATCACTCAGTAGTTCTTAAAGTTAGTACTCATATGAATTTAGGGGTGAGAGTAGATGTATCACCACCAGTCCTGTGGAATCCATAGTGATGTAGTTTTAGTGCATCACGAGGGTGCTAGAAGGATTTATATACACAGTTCTTGAAAGGAATGTGCAGACAAATTCATACACGGTGTTGGTTTTATTTGATAATTGGGTACTCGGCAGCTACTTGTGTGTGGTCTTATTCATGTGGTATTCAGATATGGGCTTTGTAACTTAACAAGAATTTGTTTGTATGGATTGCAATTAAAGATTGTAGAGATTGTTGCGTCTAGATTCTATATCTTTCATTACAATTATGCAATTTTATCTATTGTTGTCAACTTTCTATTAAGATGTAATGTATTTTTATTTTTTTGTTTTTATTCTTTTTTCAAATCTATTGTTATCTGTCTTGAATTGAAACTTTGCATGTATTAATAACTTGGAATTGACAGTAATGTAACAAACTACACCAAAGATTGAACTATGTAAAGAATGATATGAGATTTGAGAACTTTGAAACCTTCACGATGTCTGTTACTACTGATTTTTATTACAAAGAAACATGTATATTCTAAACAAACAAAAACAATCTTTTAATCACATCAATTGGAGTACTTTAATATGCATAAAATACCTTATTGAAGTAAAACAAAAATGTGTAGTAAATAAAGAAATTAGACAATTCAAAAAAATCAAAATTTATAGAAAAAAAATTATAGAATAAAAGTATTTTTTTTTTATAAATTTTGTATCAAAATATTTTAAGATAAAAATTCATTATCAAAAGTATCTTTTTATCAAACTCTTTAAGTTTTATTAAAAAAAAATCTTCAAATAAAAATTAAGTTTCTAAGATCTATTTATTTATATTTCGAATATGGTTTAAAATAAATTAGAGAATTAAATATCTAAAATTACATTTAAAAAAATGTAATATAAAATCACAAATTCTTAGAGCATTGATATTAAAATATCATTATCATAGTATTTAAATAGATATATAATAATAACATCACAATATTCTAAAAGATCTAAAACCTCAAAAATACAAAACATGGCATAATACTTGCCACTATACAATCATTATGTATACCTTTTCCTTGGTATATATAGTTTTTATATGTACCAAAAATAAGGTGTCATGGATTTATAAATTTCTCTCAAAAGTATTTTGTTTAATATAATTATTTTATACATATGAATTTTTTTTTGTAAAATAATTATATTACACATATATAAATTAATATGATTATTTTACACATATATAATTTTACATTTATATTAGCCATTTTATAAATTTTACATATTTACTGTTAACAAAATAAGATTTTACCAAGTTTATATGGCTAGAACCACCTAATATACGTACTTATTTTTTTAAAATATAATTATTTCAAAACATTGTCTTCTTTATTATATTCAAGAGTCCAAACAAAGTGGATCAATTTTTTTAAAAAAGAACCTTTGACTATGGAGAAATTTAACTTTAAACAACTAATCTTGTTTAAAATTTGAGAACATTTAATTCTCTACCTTACTTAGTACATAAGTTGTCTACCCTTATTAATATAAAATTTTCTAATCTATGATTTAAAAAGTCCTAAACAACTCACTTTTCTAAAAACCTATTTATAATCATCTTTGACTTAAGAACATGTAGTAAAATCAAACTTATATATATATATATATATATATATATGTGTGTACTACTCTCCAACTACTTTAAGTAATAATTATATCATAACAAGATTTAAGTCTAAAATTAATCCTCCAAAACTCTCTCATTTAATTGGAAAAAAAATGCTTGACACCAATTATCTTATCTATATTCTTTTACCAATAGATGAATACTAATTATTATATAATACAACTCACAATATATAAGGTTTATATATGTTTAAGGTATCATAGATGTAAGCCTTTCATCTTTAAAATACTTTCGTAATGTGACCAAGATTTTTGCATAGTTTAACATAGTCCTGAATTTTAATGAAAGTTTTGTTGTTGTGTTTTTTTGTTTACATAAATTAATAAACGAATAAATATATAAAAACACAATAATATTAAAAGCTTCCATCTTAACAATACTCCAATGACTAAAACATAATCACTTTTGCTGTATCAATATATATATGTATATATATGTATATATATATATATATAATTTCTACAAATTCATAATACAATTACAGATTAAAAAAATAAATGCGAATGCTTCTTAAAGAACATTGACGAATTCTCCAATGACATTGGAGACTCAGAATGCGATTTAATTCAAAATCGACCTCAAAAAAAATATACCAATGCAGACATTTATTATCTACCCACAAACATCACTCGTCTCAACTTGAATAATAGTCAATTTCAAGTGTGCTAAAATAGTCGAGCAAATAATTTATTAGTATAAATGATTAAGTTGTAGTGCATTTTTAGCAATACAAATTTCATTTCCTGTATCTAGTGTAACACGCGCATTTCATCATCAATCTTTAGTGCAATTGGATATTACATGATTAGCCACATCAAAGAATCATGGTTTCATATATTTGAATAAAAGAGGTCAGAAATCCAATTGATTACGTGCATAGCTTACGTGTAGTACTCTTGAATCATATAAATCATTATGTTTCTTGCAGCAAAAATGCTGTGCAAGTCACATAGTTTCAGGACTATTTGCGCACTCTTTGTCATTCAAGAAAATAACACCTCAAGAAAGAATGAAAGTACTTCTGATATGCTCACGTAAAAATTTACAGATCAGAAAGAAAACACTTCGCTTTTGAAGAATTTGAAAAAAAATTCGTAACTCATCTCAGAATCTACAAACCCTAACGAGGACTCAGAAGCTACACCTTTGTGTGGAGAATATCACTCCAACGATTGCTCGGCAGATTTTCACCCTTTCTAGGTATGGTTAGCCAATGCTGCAGTAGTCTTCCAATGTGCTCCACTCTTCCCAGTATATTTCCATGACATACCTTCAGAAATTCAACTAAGAAGTCGTTAAACAAGCACATTAATCAATCACCTACACAATTGGAGAACTAGTGAGTAATTCATTCCGGAATCTCATCGCTATAGCAACTACTCGAGCTATTCAGTTGAGGCAAAAAATACAACATATAGTGGATGTGAGAGGGTGGGAAAATTACCCGAAGTGATAATTATAAGCCACGTTCGCCCAAATCTCATCCAGTTAGTGATCGTCCACTGAGTTTGTAGCAAGAGCACGGCGGAGCTGACTTGAAGAAAAATGTATGGACCGAGAGCATTCGCAATATAGTATTACAGACACCTATGATTGGCAGCCCTAACGCCATCTCCTCTTCTCAAAAGGCTCCTGCAAAATGGTAACCTGGCTGTAGCGGGGGGCGTGGACGTTAAACTTTCCAGTGGTTTTCAGGGAGTCGGGATAGAACAGGACTACGGGATCATCCTCAGCGTCCTGCTGGGAAATGCGAAGATTAGGACCAAACTTGTTGTAGGCAGCTTGCGCGGACCGCAGGCTATGCTTGCGGGCCAAGGTGAGCGCACACGACTTGCGGTAGATGGAGGTGACTTTCCAGAGGGAGGAGCGACTGTGCACGAAGGAGTAATAATTCACAATCGATCGGATGATCGCAGAGTAATGCAAGACGATGGCAGCGTCGGGAGCGGCAACAAACTTGGGGTTGGAGGTAGCGCGTGCTAGACCCTGGGAGTTGTACTTGGCATAGCCGCGGCGGACGGCGTCGGAGAGAAGGTGACGGATGGGCGCAAGAAAACGCGGGCGAGAGTCGAGCTCCGCAGGGGCAGAGTCCGGAGGAGGAGCAGAAGGAGACAGCGTTGAAGAGAATGGAGTGATTAAGCTACAGAAGCGGTGAGAGGAGGAGAAAGAAGCAAGAGAGGAGAGTCGACATGGCGAGAGGCGGCGCAGGAAGGGCTGCAGCAGCACCATCAGCATTGTATTGTATTGTATTCGCAGGTGCAGCAGCAAAGCGAGCGGGGTCGAGCTCGAGCACGATGATCGCGAGAGGGCACTTGCAAGTATTTGCGATGTCCAGGCATCAGCAGCACTGCAGCAGGCGCGTGAGCACTAGAGACAAGGGGTTCGACTTTTAGGGTTTTGGGGTTTCGGTTTTTCCTCCTTCCACCCGAGCATTTTCGTGGTTCTTTCCAAGCTGATTAACCACAAATTTTCAAAATGTATATATATGTATATTTATATTTCCATAGGTAAGTAGGGGAATGTTAAATAGGCCCAAGTTTTTACTAAATTTATCCATCCAACATGAATAAAAAAGGACTTTTAGATTCATTTCTCCAATCACATTCATCATGGTTATCACATTTTTCATCATAGGTAGGTCAATTTAGTAAAAACCTGAATTTATTTAACATTCCAATATATATATATATATATATATATATATATGTGTGTGTGTGTATGTATGTATAAGTAATTTTTGAACATATTTAAAATTTGTATCAAATAATGATATTTTAGTGTTTTTTACTTCAATTTTTGTAATATTTATGAAATATAATTGATTATTTATAGTTGGTTTTTATTATTAGAATTATAAATAAATTATAAGTGTTTACTTTATGACACTCTTTTATGATTAGTGAATAAAAGAATAAAGTGTGTTAGTCACCTATTTTAAAAAGTAAATTTAAAAACTTATCAATAAATTTTATTTTTAAATACTATATAATCAAATAACATAATACAAGCTTTATCTATATAAATAGTTTTTTTAATCATTTATGATAAATTATTATTATACTTTAAGTTTTATATAGATTTTATAGATATAACAATTTTGTATGTAAGTGTATAAAAGTTAAAGCAAGAATATGCATAGAAAAAGAGCTTTTGAAGAATATTACTTAGAGATGTTTACAATATAAATGATATTTCTAATATAAAAATAAATATTTTATATTTGCATAAAAGCAATAAATATATTCTTCTACATTTAAAAGAATAAAAGTTTTCTTGTCTTATCTTCCTACAATCATGGGCCTTGCTCAAAGTTGTTATAGATTATATATATAATTGTCAAGGACAATAACTCAATGAAATCAAATAAATAAGTGAGAATCTTTTAAAGAAATATGACAAAATAGAAATAGAGAAGTATATATATATATTAAAAAAAAAACTGAAATAGCTATTGTCAAAAGAAAATGAAACTAGAGACTCTTGAAATTAGACTAGAAGCAAAAAAAAGAATTAACAAGAGTGAAGAAGGCTTCACTCTTGTGTCTCTATATATATTATCTATCTAAAATCTATGTGGTGACATTCTATAGGACCTTCAAAAAAAATATTGACTTTGTATGACACATATTTTAATTTAGAAGACAAATTTTTTATATAAGCACCACATAGTTAGCTTGTTTCGCAAGCTATCAATACATGTGGCATGTGGTTAGTTTATTGATCAAGTTTTTAATCTACCAATCAACTACAAACACATGTTAAGTCAAAACAACATCTAAAAATCTTCTAGAAAGCTTTTTTAGAAGGTATTATGAAATTAATCTACTTTTATCTACTTCTACCTATTCATATTATCTAAGTAACAATTATGATATATATATATATCCATGATATTATCCCCCTTTCTAGGAACGAGTGTCATGAAGAGTAGTGATAATATGTTTAGGAAGTTTAAAATGCAGCAAATTGTATTTGTCACATATTCGGATCTTTCTTCTTTTTGAAGGTAGTTGATAGGTCCTCTTAGCCATTGATAATATTCCATTCTAAGAAAAGAAAACCACCCTGTTATTTGATCATTGTTGAAATCTTTGTAACTTCTTTCAAACAAAACATTTGTAACACCATTAGAAGTTGTTCCTACCTCCAATAAAATCACCAAACATTGAGAGTCTTTTTTCAAGTCGTGATACCAAACGTGTTACATCTCACCATCTATTTGAGAAAGAACATATTTTTCTTGAAGGTCTTCATTGCTATTACGTTGAAGGCTATGATAATTACAATGTCTTGTCCAATAAGTGAGCAAATGATGGTTCTTTAGTTGAATCCATTGACTATTGGTTCTCCATTTCTTTAATACCACAATTATATAAAAACTACAAATAATGATAGAAAGTAGAATGTAATCTTTTCTAAATTGTGTTTCTTTTATAGCAAAGATTTGCTATCCTTCATCTTGGATTTGATAGATGTTATTGATGAAAAGCTTTCACCTTCTCTACTATATTTATAAGATTTTTTTGTCGGCTCCCATGTGCGATTGCTAATATCATATCCATACCAATGAATAAGATATTCCAACATATGTCAACGTCGCCTTGAGTCTAAGACTTCTTCTACCTCGAATTCTTAATTATTACCCACTTCTATAGGATGGAGTGGTATTTCTCTTCTTTCCGAAATATTCACTGTCTTATATGGCTCTAAAAGAGACCCATTAAATATAGGATGGATTTTCATAGATTTTAATAGATATAATTGATAAGCAACTAAATTGACTTGTTTACAAATAAAAAACGGTCCAAGTCTACAATAATCCAACTTGTCACAATGGCAAATAGTTTTAATATTACAACAAAGTAACCATATCTTATTACCAACATAAAAACGAGGTTGTTTCTTGCAATAAGCATCCACTTTGCTCTTTTGTTGTTCTTGAGTTTCTTTTAGTTGCACCTTTATTATTATATGTAGCTCAAATAAATAATTTGCCAAATCTTTTGCTACATGATTATCAACTTTTGAAAAGTCAAAAGTATCAAATTGTGGATAATAACCATGATTAGCAAAGAAAGGTATTTATTGTATAGAAGAATGTACCATGTTATTATAAGCAAATTTTTCCAATAGCAAAAAAATTATTCAATAATCTTATTGGTAGTTGATGGTACACCTCAAATATTGCTTTAAAACTTGATTTATATATTTTATTTATTCATTAGTTTAAGAATCAAAAGCCAAAAATATTTTATATCTATTTTTAGAATCTTAAAAAGTATTCTCCAAAATCTTGATACAAACTAAGTTCTCCTATTTGATATAATATCTTTAGGCAATCCATGATAGTAATAGATGTTGTCAAAGAAAAGCTTGGCTATTTCTTCATCTATGATAACTTTTATATATGATACAAAATATGCCATTTTAATGAAACAATCTACTATCATGAATATAGACTCATAAGAACTTGAGATTGGAAGATTTGTGATAAAATCTATAGAACCAAAGGACCATGGTTGTTTTAGAATGGGTAATAGTTGAAGAAGTCTATAAGATTGATAATAAGAAGTTTTTGACCTTGAACAAACATCACATGACTGGATAAAGTCTTTCACTACTTTTTACATTTGTAGCGATCAAAAATCTTAGGATATAAGTTCTAAAATTTTGTTGTATCCAAAATATTTGACTACTAGAAAGTCATGATGTGCTTGAAAAATACATAAACATACTTCTTTTTCTAGAATATATAGGCATATTTTGAAATAGAGTAGGTTATTTTTCAACTCAAACATGGAAGGTTCATGAGACTTAGAAGAAAGATTCTTGATATTATGAATAAGAAGATCAAAAGAAATACTTCATTGAATTTATTTTATAAGGATTAAATCAATAATAAATATTGATTTTATTGTTCAAAGATGAAAATACTCTGGCTTCAAACAAATCATTCTTTGTTGATCAAAAGATGCATCTCATTCTTTTAGTGTAAGATAAGAACATCTTAAAAGGATATCTGACAAACCTTATTGTTTTTCAGGTCAATAAGTGATTTTAAAATCAAATTTTGACAGAGACATGTTTCAATAGGCTTGGCGATAATTCAAAACACGTGTTGATATAAAGTATTCAAGATTCTTACGATTGATATAAATAGTGATTGGATTAAAAGAGCCTTCTAGATAATGGTGTCATTCTTGAAACAAATCAATAATTGCGAGAAATTCTTTGTTGTGAATCTTATAGTTGATCTTGGCTATTAAAATTTTTTTTGAATGAAAAGCTATTGCATGAAGTTTATCATATGTTCCCATTTGTGATAATACAACATTGAAAGTAAAGTCTGATGTATTTGTTTTCATAAAAAATGGCTTAGAAAAGTCGACGTGATACAAGATTGGTGTAAAAATAAAGACTATTTTTAAAGCTTCAAATACTACTTGTGCTTCTTGATTCCATTGAAGTTTGTCTTCACAAGTGAAACATGTAAGTAGAGCTGCAACTTGAAAGAGGTTCTTGATGAAGATCCAATAGTAGTTGGCAAATTCTAAAAAATATTGGATATAATTTACTTTTTTTGAAATCTTCCAATCTATAATAGTTTGAACTTTTTTAAGATCCAACATAAGTTTATTATTTGAAATGATGTATTTTAAGAAATCAATTTGATTAGTATAGAATATATATATAAAATTTTTTATTTTGGCATAGAATCTTATATTTTTTAGTTTTTGTAATTCACGATAAATATGAAGTTCATATTTTTTTGAGTTCTTAGAATAGATTAAGATGTCTAGATAATAGAAAATAAAGTCAGCTAAAAACTCTCAAAAAATATCATTCATTAGATGTTGAAAATTTATTGGTATATTTATAAGTCCAAAAGGCATGACAATGTATTCAAAATATCTATACCTTGTTTGAAATGTAGTCTTCTATTCATCTCCTTTTTTGATGTGTACTAAATTGTATGCTCCTCAAAGATCTATTTTTGTATAGATCTTACCTTCATTCAACTGATTAAGAAGTCTAGATATCAAAAGTAGCAAATACATATTCTCGATGGTGATTTTATTGAGTCCTCGATAATCAACACACATTTGCAATGATCCATCTTTTTTCTTCACAAATAAAATTGGAGCTCTTACTAGAACTTTGGAATAGTATATGAAGTTCTTGGCCAAATTTTCTTCAATATATTCCTTGAGTTCAATCAACTAATTTTGTAATAAATTATAAATTGATCCAAATGATACTTGGACTCCTTCTTAAAGGTCAATTAAGCAATTATAGGGATGTTGTTTTGATAGAATATCTGCATTCTTCTTCTCAAATATATCTTTAAAATCTTAATATTGGCTTGAAATGCCATTTGAAGTCTTTCCACCATTAGGAACAAATGGAGCATAAATGACATAAGATAATTCTTCTTTTGGAGCATGTAAGAAAGTCCTTACACCTACAAATACAAATTTGATTGTACTAGACTTATCACTTTTTATTTGATTGATTATATTCTTGATTATATTTTAAAAAAAATCAAGACTACGAGAAATTTAATCTATTTTTGATTTATATTTTTTTATCCATGATAAATCTAAAATAATTGAATTAGTAGAAGATCTTATGATATTAAATATTACAAAGCTAATGAGACCATTAATTGTTATTTCTATGGGAAGGATTTCATGAATAACATTTCTTGAAGACAATGGAAAAACATCTCTAATTTCTATATAAATAGATTTAGTTTTCTTTACTAAAGGTATATTATATCTTTTAGCAAATTCTTTAGCTAAGAAATATGTTGAGGCTCTTGAATCTATTAAGGTAGAGGCTTTGTGATATTTAGGTCCTAAAATAATATTTATTGTAAAACAAGGAGAGGATTCTAAAGAGATAATAGGACCTTCATTAGGTATTGTATAAGGTTCCAAGTGCACGATTCCTATTATAGTTGGATAAACTTTGTTTTCAACATATTATCTTCTTTGACAACCGTACTCTTCATTTTGTGGTTGAGTCATTTTTTTGGATAATATTGAATAGTGTACTTAGGTTCTTCATAACACAAGCACAATCCTTCTTGATGATGACAAGTTTTTTCTTGCTTAGTAAGATATTTAAAACATACTGCATTAATTTGTATATCTTCTATTTTTGAATGTATTTATTGAAAAGACATTGACATTGTCATGGAATTGTAATAATGTTGAAGTACACTTAAGCAACTCTCAAATTGAAATTCAAAAAGTAAATTGTCGTATCTTACAGGAAAGTCAATTGCTTGACTCAATGTTTGAAGATTAAGTAACTTAAGCATCAATTTTTTTATATCATATTAAAATTTGTAGAAAAATTGGCTAGCAAGTGTAGCATCATCTCACTTGATATTAGTTATAAGTTGTCAAAATTAAGAAGCATATAATATTATCAATTAATTACTTTGACAAAAAATATAGATCTCATTGATTGTAACACAAATTGTATCATATTCTCTATACATTGATCAAAATTCCACCAAAAAAGCATCTAGATTATCTAATATTGGATCTCATCATTTAAGAAAGATAAAAATCATGATAATATTGAATTTAAAAAGAATGTATTATTGAATCTAATTTGTAATCTTTGAATTGGATAGCTTTTGAGTTGAAGTTTAATCACAAGTTATACTTGATTAATAAATCCTTGAAACTTAGATCTTATGCCATCAAACTTCTTTGGTAGTGCAATCCTTGATTTTCTAACATTGGAAGGATGTTCCTCCATAGGAGAAGAGATATGATTTGGTGCAAGTATTGAAGCACTGCTAATCATCTCTATGTCTTCATTCTTTGCCATTCTTATTGTTCCTTGTCATGGTAAATTGAGTTGATGCATCGCAAGCATTAGTTCTTTCAGTTGCTCTTGCATTTGTGCCATTACGCTTTTCATTTTAAGAAGCTTTGCCATGATAAAACTTAAAAAATAAAAGATGTCTATTATCGCTTAAGACAAATAGAAGAGAAGACTTGAAAACAAGAAAAAATACTAAAGACAATATCAATTTAAAAGAGGGTAATCCACAACTCCTAATACACTTAAGTCTTATTAAAAAAAATAAAATAATCTATTCTTAATTTAAAAAAAAAACAAAGTTTTAATATTAAATATATATCTTATCAATTTCTCAAGGATAAGAACTTGATGAAAGTAAATAAAAAAAAATGAGACTCTTGCAAAGAAATATTGAAAAATAGAAATAGACAAGTATGTATATTAAAAAAAAATTTGAATGGCTATTATCAAAAGATAATAAAATTAGAGATTCTTGAAATTAGACTAGAAGTAAAAAAATAATCACAAGAATAAAGAAAGCTTCATTCTTATCTCTATATATACTATCTATCTAGAATCTATATAATGACATTCTATAGGATCTTCAAAAATGTGTTGACTTTGCATGACAAGTATCTTAACTTGCAAGGCAAGTTTTTTATATGGACACCATATAGTTAGCTTACTTTACAAGCTACCAATATATGTGGCATGTGGTGAACTTGTTGACCAAGTTTTTAACCTACCAATCAACTATAATCACATGTAAAGTCAAAACAATGTCTGAGAAGCTTCTAGGGAGTTTTTCTAGAAGGTATTATGAAATTAATCTACTTTTATCTACTTCTACCTATTCATATTACTTAAGTAACAATTATAGTACATATATATCCGTGACAATAATTCTATAAAGATTAATATTTTTTTGAATATAAATGATTTTAAGCATCAATATTTGGAATAACATTAAAGTCGTATTTATTTATGTTTCTATTACATTTATTGTACACTTATTGCATTAAAATTCTACTAGTATTATTAATATTAGGTTCAAAATGGTTGAGAAACCTAAATTGGTTTTTTTCTTTTAAACTTGTTCCTAGTATAATATTAAAAAAAACAACATTAAATTTATTTGACAAGGTATTTAATAAAAATATTTTATTTTATTATAAATAAAATAAAATATCTGCATTATAATTTTATAGTTTGTTGCACTTACTTCTATTATTATTTTTTGTAGTGAAACAAATTTCTTTGTAGTAAAGATATTAAAGATGAAATTTATATACAAGAAACTAAATACTAATAATTTATTATTTGTTATATTTTTGTAGAGTCCTTGTAAAAAAGAAGGTACAAAAGTCCCAAATAGATTATAAAACTATAGGTATAGATAAGAAGAAAAGTCTAAGGCCTTGTGGCCTTTCTAAGATATCATTATATACTATTTTTGAGCTTTAATGAGGATCAAATCCTTCATCTCTTAAGAAAATTATCCTTAGAATAAATCATATTTATTTAATATTTTTATTATTTACTTTTTAACTTTAAATCTCTATAACTTATTCTTAATAGCTATAATTTTAATATTTTTTTATATTATATATATATATATATATATATATATATATATATATTGAATAAAAATGTAGTGAACATATCATGAACATCCATCTCAAGAAGATTTTTAAAAGTTTTTAAAAGGTCTTAGAAGATTTTAGAATATTTTAGAAAGTTCTAAAAGACGTTCATAAGTTTGGTTAACTCCCAAACAATATAGAAAGTCATAGGAGAAGGTTCTTGAGATTGCTTTATAATGCATTAAAATCAAAACTGCTCAAGAAGCATCCTAAGATGACTTGGGAGCAAAGCCTTCAACAAGAAGTTATCTAGAAGCTTTTTTGAATCCTAATATATATAAGTACCAAGGCTAAGGGGCTCCTTAGATTTGACAATATATGTCTTATTGTCTAGCTTTGGACTTAATCTTGTTCTTGTTTTGTTACTACGTTGTTTGATAATAAGACTCATGTATCTTGTTATAATATTGCATAGTTCTTAGATCTTGTTTGTAATGCATATTGTGATTAGTTTTGTAGTATGTAATTCCTAAATTGCAATAATTTGACTTGTTTTGTGTTTTTCTTCTTTGTTTTTTTATTATTTTCATCTTTCACTCTATACCACCAATTACAAAAAACTCTTAATTAAATAATTTAGTTATAATTTAGATTGAAAGGTGAGTTTTACCCCCACCATTGGTAATTGCAAGTTAATTATGAATTAATTTATTAATGGAGGCCCTTGGATTTCTTTAGATCAATTTCTCACATTAATTTTGAAGTGAACTTTCTTAGGCACGAAGCACAAGTAATTGATATCTAGGCTTTTGCAATTAGTTTTGCTTTACTATTTAGAACACGTCTCATATCAAAGCTAGGATTGTCAAATACAACAAATAGCCTATCAATGGACCTTAAGTGATTTTTGTTGTAGTTTATTGTAGAAATTGCTTGGATCTAAAACAAAACAACCTCAATTTGTTGCTCTCTTTCCAAAATTATTAGCACATGCTTGGAAAAAAGCTTTATATTTTCTTCTCATGAAAATCTCATGAGCATCCCAACTATGGTATTTATAGATGCACAGCAGTTCTAACTTATCCAAATTTCAAACTCCACGAGAATGAAACTCACTAATCCCACTTTCCAACAAAATAACACAAATGGTAAGAGAGATGCAAACAACCATTTCATCATGACATAAGCAACCTTAATGACAATATCTAAGATGCTAGCTGCATGTACGAATATTATTGTATTCTTGAAAGCTAAAATATAGCCCATCTGAATTGAAAAATTTAGTAACAGAACTTAAAACTTCAAAAATTCCCCTCAGTGAACTTTTTACATCTACAGAGCCTGGGGAAACTCCAAGTAACCCCTCTAACATCCACCGCTTACTTTGCTTTTATCCACTCAAACCTAACGTTGTCCAGAGTGGGGCTGTGGTGCAACAGATGCTACGTCACAATGAATCGAATGAGATGTCAATGACCAATAGAGAGATTAACTACTATACAAACAAATCGTACAGGAAATGAATCAAGTAAGACCCTGTTAATAACTACCTATAGCACATGTGATGAACAATTTCGGCTTCGGTACTAGCTCCGCCATGACGTTCGCTGTGGCATCCGTACCTGTGAATCAGCCCTTGTCCTCCTCATTGAATCAGTCATATCGTCTGATATATTTGAAGGATGATGTCCATTCTGAGAATATAAAAACCAAGCAAGAAGCTAAGCAAGGTGCTCATCGTCAACTACGCAACCAGGTCTTCAACAACATCCTCGAACAAAGATCCACGCTTCACGTGGGACATTTTCTATGTTTTCAAAATATCGTGTACATGTGAACGGATGCTTTCGATTCAAACGAAAATGAAGGTTTTACTGATGTCCTAACCAGCACAAGTATTTGGGGGGACAACACACCTGAGCTGGTGGGGGTGTCAAGGTCCGCCGAGGGGGATTATTTTGACTTTGGTACAAATGATGCTGGTGTTGCATGTACTCAAACTGCTTCAACTGTGCTGCGAAGTTGATGCCGAGCGGACCATTGGTGCTATCTGAAATCCTGTCACTGTCCTCGCTTGTGGATGAGGTTTGTATAGAAGGAATATGAGATAAACGTTGAGAAAAACCCCCAGCCGAAGCTGATCTCCTTATCGCAGAAAGCCCCGGAAATTGACTAGATGCTAGAGAGGATTGCATGTGCATGAAAGTCTGCGAGGGCACTGTCTTCAATCTTGTACGCAGCATTTTGAATGCGGCGCTTTGCTGTGAATGGGATATTGTAATTTAATGAGGAGGCAAGCAGTTGAACTCAAAACAATAGTATCAAGTAAAATGGAAAAAAACTAAACACAAATCAGAGATAACAACGGTGTACCTGTGGAAGAAGCATAAGAAGACCATACAGGGTTTTAAGCAAACTTGGATAGCGACCTGGCTCCAATAACTGCAACACGTATCACCACCCAGCAATTTTTTCAACATTCCAAAACACTTAAATCAACAAAGTGCAGTTTACAGAAATATAATGAATAGCTTGATTAAAAAGGCTATTGCAAACAAATCACCCAAGAAATTAAACCAGGTTATAAATACGAGCTCCATGAAATCCCAAGTAAGAGCAAGGTCTGACATCAAAGTAAAAGGTACTCCTTAAAAATGCAGATGTGCAATCAGCCCAGCACGACATGACGCTTTGATGCAATCCATAATGAACGTGGAAATATGATTTTAATGTTTTGATACATAAGATCCTTCCCTTTCGAACAGAAAAACCTCACAGAAGTGCAATATTACAGCTAATGTTGTCGCAAGAATCACCTGTAATCTCAAGTAGGCAAAAGTAGGAGTTTCCAAAAGTCGCACAAGTTTATCAACTTGTACAAGCAAATTCACGTTTATGTCGGATTCCCCAAGTGCCTGAATGACGGCACTCGCATGCTGATACGCCTGCGTAGCGGATGATCTCACTATCAGTCCAAAGATAGAACTATGCAACATTTTCTTTTCAGGAACAGCTGAAGCGACATAACTACCTCCCTACTAGACCACCTGCACCAAAAATCGAACTCATATTGTCGTACAATTAATAAAAGTTCTGTGTTGGTTTTGAAGGCAAAGATTATTTTACCTGTGCCAGCAAACACAAGCTAACAGTAGCGATCGATGAGTGACACCACGAGGACGACAAGGAGACAAAAAGATCACCACCAGCTGGATTTAATAAGGACAGCTTCAAAAGAGATCTCATTTCAGCCAGTTCTGGTGCTGTGAGCAGTATCAAATTCAGTGCCTGCACTTGCAAAAACAGGAGTTATTAACTCAAACACCTTTAAACCGGTCTGCTAGATAAGTAGCTACATTCATTTTTGGTGGAGACGACCTTTTCCAATAAGGTAACTGTGAAATGAATATTATTGCATTCTAGACACGCCCACCACAGTCTACGACTTAACTTTAAAAGATAAAAGCCATGTTTGTAAACCTAACCTGCACCATGATAGTGGCAAACTCTAGGTCAGCCTCTCCTTCAAATATGGTAGCTAGTTCTCTATAGACTCTTTCTGCATCCAAGAGAGTGCACAAACGCCGTAATGCTAAAGTCCCTCTCCTGCATTGACAGCACGCCGCAAAGCGAAGGAACATTTATTAACTGAAACGCAAGTCACCACACACCTGATGGGAGTATTAAGGGGAATCAAGTTAAACATATTCCAATTATCCCTGCAGAGTAATCATACTTTAAGCAGCATGCTTAATGAGCTCCAGGAATCCTTTCTACAGTTCAATGTTGGATCATTAGACTTCCATTTATGTTTAGTCCACTTTATGTTGGTTTTCATGGTAGATAGAAATGTGTGATTTGTAAGTAGATGTAATGTTAAAAGTCTTACAAAACCTTACAAATTTCAAAGAAACAAGGCTGAGTTTGCTTTTATTACAAAACAAAATGGCATTCACAGACAAAATATTTCAGAAGATCCAATGCGTAAAATTGCAAGCAGAATTCTCTTCTAAGAATGACCCCTCTTGAAGGATATTGCACAGATAACGGAAGTCATACTAACCATGCTCGTCCGCTACATACGGCTGATGTAAAAAAGATGTGATCGTTCTATTCTGGAGTTGAGTGTATACAAGTGCTTACTTTTCAAGAAGAGTCTGCTCAATCTTGAATTTATGAACAAGAAAGACCATGAGCCGGTGGAAATGTTGAGCATCTCCAGCAATACAGGCTTGAACCTCCAAGACAAGACAAACTACCTGCGAATAAATTTCACAACCCATTGTTAAGGAAAATAGAGGACATCGTATTTACGTAAGCCTGTGTGGAATTATAGGTGTCTATTACAAAAGGTGAAACGAATGAGCCCACACCTGGTTCACGCGCTTAGAAGCCAGTTCAGCATATTGCAAAAGATATTCACTCAATCTTACCTCAACTACTAATCCAGGTTTAGTTAGACTCGACAAGAAACAAGATTAAAACAGAACAAACAATAAAAAAATAAATAGAATAAAATAAAAACTTTGAGAACGTCAGAATGTTTTGAGTACAATTTTTATATGCTTCTAAACTCTCTCATCAAAACTTCTTGCAGTGGAAAAAGAAATGTGTTAAAGTTAAGTAGGACCCACTTCATCTGAAGTATCGGCTAAGGAAGATAGCAGGGCAGGGAATATATCATCCAAAAAGGAAAGAACCTGTACCCCAGCCCCAAAAAGTATCAACTACGAGCTTCGCTGCTTCTGATAACAAGCATAACCACTACGAACGTAGAACTACCGACGTGACCTTAGCATAGACAGGTTTACATGGTTGCGAGCAATTTTGGATATCAACATCATTAAATCTAGAGAACGATGCATGAAGCAAAAAAGTGACCTCAGTTCGATGTCTCTCCAGAAGAAGTGCTATCCAACGCAACGCTTCCAAACGCGTAGCTTCCCAATCACTTCCCAGTTCCCTGCAAATCAAAATTACCATTAGTGATGCTTCAGAGATCCCTAAAATCGGAGACTCGATCTGCACTTTAAACGAATCATAATCATTAGTGATTGCTAACCAAAATACAGCAGTAAGTATTTGAAGATCTTTGGCAAGCATGTTAAGGACAAATCATGGTATAATAGTAAGCGATAGTGCACTTCAATAGGACAATAATCAGCATATACAGAATCTTTCGAAAAATTATTTGGCTTTCTAAAAGTAGATCAACCTGTGTTCATAAACAAGAAGCAATTAATGAAAATTGAGCTAGAAGCATATTGTCAAGTCTGAAGTTTACCTTCTAGCGATAACAAGAACCGCGCCAATATCGAACCCTTCAGCTGGTTCTGCCTTTACAGATCGAAGTTCCTCATTAGTCTCTTTGGCTACCTGGAACAACATACAACATGGCCTAGATAAATAAGTCATAAAGGGAGGTATGATAAACAATAATCGCGTTATATAGGAACAAAACATGATGACAAGGTAGGCTACGTCGCTAAAAATCGTGACAGATCTCGCTTCTCCAGTGCAAAAACTATCGCCAAATTGCATCCATTCCAAATGCGTTTATAGAATCAACTAGTATAATGTATACTTCTATTATACGAGACAAAGAAAAAGAAAGGCCCAATGGAATTTGAAGTACGAAGCTAAGTATAGAAAACAAACCACTCGAATTCTTTCCTCGTTGTCTGAAATGGCAGGTAACAGGGCCCCCAAAATGTCAGCATAATAAGGCACTAGTTGCTCACCAGAGAGTTTCACAAATTCATTCAGCTGCAATACATACAAGAAAAATAAGGAACCAAAAAACAGAAAGTTGACCATTTTGAATTGCAGAAGACTTACACATGATACACAGTCTGCGAAGTAACTTAAACGAGATAAGCATGGGCGTTAACTACCCAAGAAAATGATGTTAGCCTGGTAAATTCATCTGGGGCCGCTGCTCTCTGCACAAGAATCTCTGCCATCTTCCCGTAATCCACAGACTATTGCAGACAAATGACAACAAAAACAGTTAGAATTATCTCAAAATGATATCAAATTTTCAAAGTCTTTGATTGAAATAATTATTGTCCAAAAAGCTGCCCGATTCAAGCAAGATGAACCCTGGAAATGATTGAACGAATCTACCGACCAACAAGAAATGAAAATCAAGGCATCATGGGCATCAAAGACCACAAATTTAATGTCCTACCGGAGCATCCTTGATCTCTCGAAGAAACTCTTCAAGTGCAGAGTCAGCTTGTTGGCGGATTTCATGGCTACTGTCGCTGAGCATATTAAATAACCCTGCAGTGCAAACAAGAAGTTTCTTTACCTAATGGAATAAATAAGCAAACTAAAGATACTGAATGATCTAAGATATTACAAAATTAATAACGACTCAGCAATGATTAATATCACCAAGAAATGTCATTAGTCACGTTATTATAGCTCAGAGTTTCAAGAGGCAGAAGATAGATTCGACTTCAAGCATTGTAACGCACACGATATTTAGATCTACTGCAAAGCGAATCACAAGAGCTCTTAAGATAAAATGACGGAACTAATTATTTGTAACGCACCGTCGAGAAAATCTGGTAGGAACCCAAGCATATCGATTTCAGTTTCTCTATCCAAAACAGTAATCCATCCCACCAAGAATTGTCGCACAAAAGGATTCAACACATTCATACGCTCCCTAAGAAGCGGAATGAACTCTTCAATGCTGTAAACATTAAATATGAACATTATTTAGGTTCCACATTCCAACAAGCACTACAAAATTTAACGCAATAAAAGGGTTGAGCTTTTCAGTGAAAGGCAGCTGTTTCTGGCAGCTTAAACTCATAAACAACTCCATGCAAACTCTTCACATAGCAATTATGAACAAGTCTCTGCAATAAAAAGAATGCATACAACAGCTGACCTGAATTGATCACTCTGTGCTACAATGTCCTGGTCCAATGTCACACAAACAGTAATTTAGCTAAGGACCCTACGAAAAATAGGACTAACTTAAATAAAGGTATTTAAGAAATAAAATTATTGTAAGTAAATAAATAAAACACCTGCGTAAGATGACAATTCAATAATGGCTGCCAACCCCCCTAAAAAAATCATGTATGGAGTCCAAATGCATTATCATCAACATTTGTCAAAGAAGCAAGCCCTAACCTTCACTATATGATCCAGGAGGTGGGCCGCCTGCTGTACACTAGGCTCGGAATCTGCTGAGAGTTTGCAGAGCGCATCAAAGATATCATTGAAAAAGAACACGAGATCCCCTCGTGTGGCCTGGAAGCATGCCGATATCTTACAAGTTACTAAAACAGGTTCTAGGAGATATTCATATCACGCTATTCTACCACCTAAAAATCAAAAAAAGCAAAAAGCAAAAAAGAAGGATTTTGAGTTGATGACAGAATCGAGAGTTGAAAAAAGAAAAGTTTAGGAACACATAACGACGTTTGAAGCGTTAAAGAATATGTCAATGACATGATCAAACATAAGAGACCACACTGGCGAATTAAAGAGTCCATGTTTCTACTTTGTGACTACAATTACCAAGCTCTAGATGCATTTTTTAATTAAAAAAAGAAAAAAAGGTTCCAAGTTTGAATGGTAAGAATAGATTATCCACCTTGGCTATATTGTATAGCGCTTCACAGGCATAGTATCGGACGCGAATATCCTGGTCTGTGAAGGAATTCAAGACTGGGGGAATGATTTTCTGAAGCACATAGCACCATGCCCGATAAGAAGCATGAAAAGGGCATTTCCTAAGTACTCATCAAAAAGTCCGCTCCCCAAGAAGTATTAGTTTCAACCCCCTACAATTTATAAAGGTTATGATGCCAGATTATCATATGACATCTAATCGACAACAAAAGCTATACTTACCTCCAGATGTTGAGCGGCATCAGACCCCAAACCCATTGTTGCAGCCGCAAGCCCAATCAAGCCTCCCTGCTAAAAAAAGGAGAGAATTATTTCTTATCACCCTTAACCGCTTGCACACACCAAATATACAGGCGAGAAATCCAATGCCATAGTGAAGGATCCAGCAATAATGCCTTAATCAAAGGTAAAACCTGAGGACTTTCTACCTTACGATGATTGGACTGCGGGGATAGTGCAAAGTCATGAACAAGAAGATGTAAAAGGCTGGATATCCTCTGATGATCCTGCTGAGCAACAAGGCCCCTGATTACTGCCTCCACCTACACACTCAAATAACCACTGGTCAATAATAGAACCATGCATGAAAGCAAGAGAAGACATATGACATGTGAAAGGCATCTTCAATCATAATCGTAGAGCAAACAGATAATTACCTCTCATGAGTGCGAAGCATTTGAATTAGCCATTAAAATACAAATTCATTTTACCAGCAAGTCAAGTTGCGTGTCTTCGTTTAAAGCTCTATATATCTTGCAATGCTAAAATCTAATATCAATGCACATCTTGTCGTCCCTACGTAGTGATCGAGTGCATCCATGACAGAAATAGGAAAACAAGCATCGAAAGTGCTCCATATGCGAACCGTTGACTTATTGAAAACTACATTTCGTCTTTAACATGATATCCACAGAAAGTACAGGCAGGGACAGTAACAAACCCCATCGATACTACTTAAACACGAATAGAATAAAGCTCATAATACAATTTCAAATAGTCACTAGCGGTAGAAATTTTTTCATGCTTGATCTGTTATTCTTACAGAGGAACATTGAACCAGTTCATTCTTCGACAAAACTAATAATAAGCAAAGACTCTCGGACAACTTTTTTCACCTCGCCAGTGAGTGCATAACGGCATCGACCTAGCACAAATACGAAGGTTTCATTTTCCTCTTTTCATCCAAATATTAAGAGCAGATGAAACGATCTCTTATATGCTATCTCTAACGTATCCTACATCCCCCAAGTGACAACACAAAGAACTGATCCAAGTGAATTCGATACACAGGGAAATCAAGAACTTTCCGTGAATGTGCGATTGTTCTAAGGTAAGCAGAAGATCCTTTCAGCATCGTTAATCACAAAATCCAATAAATAAATAATAAAAAATAAAAAATAGAACAACAGCTTCTGCTATTCATTTATTTTCTAGAGAAATAACAAAACTTAAACCAGACTAAAAGTAAAAAACAGAACAATACGATAGTACGTACCTCGCGCGCAGCATTCTTCCGCTTCTCATACAATTTATCCGCCAAAGTCCGCAGCGTCGAGGCGGAAAGAAGCGGCGTACCATCCGCCATCTTGGCCATCACGTGCCTACGGTATCACAAGCTCTTTTTATTCACATCTTAAACCCTAACACTCAAGTCTATAGCATTAACCCTTGTGAATCCTCAGGTCAGCATTTCGACTCGTTTCTCGTCACAATGCCCTCCCATTCCTCCCTTGCAATGCCCAAGCTCAGTGCACCTCAAATCGAGAATAGCTTCCACTCGCGACACTCCACAGCTCGTAAGACTCGTAAAACAGCACTCCGTGCAAAAATCACAAAACCGTCACATCCCGCATCCTTGTTCAATCAACCTATCAATTCGTTCTGCCGGTGCGCGCGCGTGGATCGACTATCTGAATTAGAGCGCAGACACGATGGAAGAAGCAGCGAAGGAGAGGAGTCGGTTGGTTCACAATCTAGGTAATAGCGCGGAAGCAACCGTGCAGGACAAGAGTGGAGGAGTCACTGATCTGATCGACTAGAACTGTTAGATACAAGTATAGGTTAGGTGCGGAGATCAGGGGGACAAAGTATGGCCACAAGGACAAACAGTGCTAGCGACAGACCAAAAAACGAGAAGTGGAGAAGGGCACAGGAGTCGTGTGACAAGCATGAAATCGAGCATGAAAGCAACCGCTAGATTCGCGATCAATCGCGAAGCTCGTCCAGTGCTGGAAGAATGATCACGGCGAAAAAATGGAGCACCTCCCGATGAATAATACGTGCCGCGCGGCGGAAGCTCCGCTCCCGACCGACGAATAATTGCACCACCGACGAAATGTGATCGAGAAAAGTTCCCCTCGTCCGGATAGTAGTCATTGTCCACGATGGCATGCATGCCCGTTCCATTGACCTGTAACCATTGTTACAGGTAGGTCACAACTCCACCAAATTGATGAGACATTCTCTGGGATCCTTGTGAGAAGAATGTTCCTAGATGGATGTCCAACCACGAGTTTTGAGGCACTAGGAGTTGGGGCTACACAGCTAGTTCACACTACAAAAGTGGAGGTAGAGAGCAATGGGCTATTATTATGCTTTGAAAAGAAACATATAAGGTAGCTGATCCATTGTCAACCACCCTTCATTTTTTGACTGATAAGGTGGGGTATTTCTATGAGTGTGGCAACCTGTTGTTGACTAGGTTTGACATCCTTAATAGGTTGGGGTTGATTAAATGATGATAAACTATGAGTAATAAATAAAATTTATTGAATTTGGAATGCGTACATGTAAACTATGGATAGAGGTGGAAATAGTTGATTAGTTAGAATGGAATAATAGCATGATTAGGTGCCACACTTCTTAGTTTTGTAAAAGTTGAATTCCTGGTTTTGTATCCTACTATTAGTTGGAATTATATTGGTCTATATGTTGAAAATGGTTTTAAGAGAATCTTTAGCTAAAATATTTATATAAATTTTATTTTTGGACCAAATTGTATAAAAATACTTAAAATCCTCATAATTTCTATTTTCATGCATGAAAATATTTCTTTTAATTTTATACTTACTGTAAATATATTAAAATACTTAAGTTATTGGAAATGAATTACATATCTTATATAATTATAGATATCCATGCTTATATAGGTTTCATCCTCTTTTTTGTTCTAAATCGCTCGTATCTCTAATTTTGTTTTTATTTTCTTTGCTTAATGATGTTTCATGCTCATTGTCATGGATATATATATTTACTTCAATAAAGAGTACTACATAAAAGATAAATATAAATAGATTTGATATTATTATGTAACAAAGCTTCTTAAAAGCTTTACAGATATGCGTTTGATTTTATACATATTTATAGTTAATTGATAGATTAGAAACTTAGTCCAACAAGTTAGTCATGTGTTTCACATGTGAGTAGCTTGTGGTATAAGCTTACGATATGATGGATATATAAAAAACTTACTTTATAAGTTAAGACACATGGCTTACAAATTGGACTCGTGTTGGAAATTATATTAGATGTTGCCACATAGCTCATATTTGGATAGTATATATAGAAGTAAGAGTAAAGCCTTATTTACTCTTGTCAATGCTTTTCTAATCCTTAGTCTTGTTTTAAGACTTTCTAATCTTCTTGACTTTGGCAATAGCCATTCCAATTTAGTATATTATCATCTTTGAATAATTTTCTAATCTTTCAAGTGATATAAGAATGTATTAAGACTTTCTTTCTTTGAGATCCATGTCCTTAAGAGTTTTATAAGAGTGCTAACTTGTTGTCCTTATTTTGTATTAGAAATGAGTGAATTATACCACTTCTATTGTTATTTTTTCAAGGTTACAGATTATCCAATTTTAAATCCACTTTTAGTTTTCTAATATCAATTGTTATATATATATATATATATATATATATATATATATATATATATATATATATATATTCTACTTTGTAGAAACTTTCATTGATATTAGAAGATGTAGATCACCTTCTTCTAATTTGATTTTTAAAATTTTTTGAATTAACTACGGAAGAAAAAATTATAGATGCTACTCTTAGCAAAAATAAGAATAGATTTGTAACTATTGTAACTATCTTCACAAGCTTCACAACAATTTAAAGGTGGAAATTTCACGTATCTTTAACATCAATTGTGGAGGTAGTATTTTGACATCTATAAAAGAAACCAATAACAAAGTTTAAAATCTATGCCAAGAAGTTGTGCAATTGAGAGAAGGAAGTAGATCAAGCTTATAACTAAATCCAAGAAGTCTTGCTATTTCAAGTATGAGAGAGACAAGGATAAGTATGCTTGAAAAGTTTGATAGAATAAGATCAAAATTTCAAGGATTTCTACAACAAGAAAAGTTCTATCTAATATTATATATTTTTTAATACTTTGATGGATTTACTTAAGTTGAATTCATAAGTGTATTTTTTTTAAGAGTACTCTTTCTTAGTTTGTACCTTTCATAGAAAAGAATTTACATCTCTTCTATGATTTGAATTCATTTTAAAAAATATTTATGGATATTTTTAGAAAAAATAATTAAAAAAAGGTAACAAAGTTCAAATTTATATCTTGATAATAAGGAGCACATTTAACCACCATATATGTTGTAGAATTCTAAAATCTTACTTGTAATATAGATTGGAATGATAAAACTTTTATCCATCAATTTCAATATGAATTAAAAGATAATATCAAAGATTTATTGTTAACAATGCCAAGAGTAGGTTCATTAGAGTAATTTATTACTCAAGCCATTGCATACAATAATTGATTCTTTAAAAGATGCTAAAAATAAAGATTTGGTTAGAGGGATATAAATCAAGCTATAGCAATAGCCTCTGAGTTCATAGAAGCTTATTCATTAAAACTAAAACTTATGAAAATTGACACAATATATTTCAATTTCTAACCAAGCAAGAAAAAATTCAACATTATTAAGAAGATTTATGCTTATATTATAGAGAACTTAAGCACACTGCTCAACATTGTCTAAAGAAGCAACATAATCATAAAATGAAGATCATGATTGCCAAAGAAGATAATGTATTGGAAAACAAATTGTTTTAGCTATAATAAGAACCATATGATTAGAAACTTACATAATACTTAATAAAGGTCCTATTTTGTCCTCAAATCTCTCACTTTATTATACAATAGAAGTTTTTTTAGGACCAAAAAATTACAAAGTCTTTATCTTGCTAGATTTTGAAGCTGCAACTTATTTTATAAATAAAGCTTTTATTAAAAACTAAAAAATATTTTTAGCTAAGAAAAATAAACATGTCTATGTAGAAATCATAAATGGTTGTTTGTTGTCCTCTAGAGATATTATCCATGAAAAAATTCTTTTTGATATAGCAATTAAAGATCATAATAGTTTAATAATATTCTATGTTATAAAATCTCTATTTAATCTAGTTATTTTAAGATTATTGTGATTAAAGAAATATAACCTTGAAATAAATTAGACTTCTCATAATGTTGTTTTTTTATAGTTTAGTCTAATTTTAATGGAGAAAAGACTTCAAGTCAATAATAAGATTATGAAGACATTTTTTACAAGAAAAATATTAATATTCTTTCAAAATATTATGCCTTTGACTGTTTGATTGATCTTTAAGATGGAGATCAATTACTATTTGTACCAATCTATAGTTTATTGCAAAAGAAAATGGTTGCATTCAAGGAATGCATTGACAAGAACTTGGCTAAAATTTTTATATTCCATTCTAAATATTTAGTAGAAATTCCTATCTTATTTTTTAGGAAAAAAGATAATTCTGTCAAAATATGTATAAATTGTCAAGGCCTTAATAAGATCACCATCAATAATAGGTATTGTCTATCTTTAATTTTAAGACTTTTTAATCAACTCAATCAGACAAAGATTTATATAAAAATAGATCTATAAAGAACATACAAGCTAGTATGTATCAAAAAAGAAGATAAATGAAAGATTGTATTTCAAACTACATATGAACATTTTGAATATAATGTCATATCTTTTGGATTCACAAACAGACCAATTACATTTTGATACATCTAATGAATGATGTTTATAGTGAGTTTCTTGATGATTTTCTTATCTATTATCTAAACAATATTTTAATCTATTCTAAGAACATAAAAAAGCATAAACTTCATGTTTATTACGTGCTACAAAAATTTAGAGATATACAATTATATGCCAAGATAAAAAAAAGTTTATATTTCACACTACTTATGTAGACTTCTTTATATATATCATTTTAAATAATGGCCTAATGATAGATTCTAAAAAAGTCTAAACTATCATAGATGAGAAAATTCTAAAAATAGTCAAAAATATATAATATTTTTTGACATTTATTAATAATTGTAAGATCTTCATTAAAAACGTTCTTTTTTAAGATGTAGCTCTCAAGGACATGAATCTCAAAGAAAGAAAATCCTCAATGTACTCTTGTGTCACTAAAAAGAACCAAAAAGTCACTCAAAAATCATATATTATTGAACTAGAATGGTTATTGCCAAAGACAAGAAGGCTAGAAAGTCTTGGAATAAGACTAAAGACTAAGAATGCATTGACAAGAGTGAAGAAGGCTTCACTCTTGCCTCCATATATACTATCTAACTAAGAATTACGTGGCAATGTCCTATAAGACCTCCAACATGTATTGACTTTGCTAGCCACATGTCTTATCTTACAAGGCAAGTTATCTATGTATGTGCCACATAGTTGGCTTATTCCACAAGTTGTTACAGAGACATAACTTGTTCTACAAGCTACCAATACATGGTTAGCTTTTTGGCCAAGTTTCTAACCTATAAATACATCTAAAGTTAAAATTGCATCTATGAAGCTTCTAAGAAGCTTTTCTAGAAGACCTTATGAAATTATTTCATATTTATCTATTTCTACTTAATCATATAAGTAACTATTTTTATAAATATATGTATTCGTGACATTATCCTCTCTTCTAGGGATGAATTCTACGAGGAGCGGTCTTCATATGTTGAGGAAGTCTAAGATGCGATAAATTATATTTGCTAAATACTCCAATCTTTGCTCTCTTTGAAGATGGTTGATAGGTCCTTTCAACCATCTATAGTATCTCATACTAAAGAAAGAAGACCACCCTGTTATATGGACATTGTTGAGGCCTTCGTAACTTCTTTCAAATAAAATATTTGGAACATCGTCAGGAGTTGTTTCTACCTCTAATAAAATCAC